ATATATCCTCTCTTAATATTCTGAAGAACATATCGACATGCAGTTCCTCCATGATAATTTTCAATGTCATTCACTGTTATTGTTTTCTTGCACAAATAAATGTACTTTACAATAGTGGAAAATTACAATAGATAATTGTGAGTAGAAGAACAATGAGAAGTGTTTGGTCTGATATTTTACATAAACACACATGTGATTTTAAGTAAATGGCCAAGAAACATTTCAGCAGATTTAATTATATGCTCCTCAGAAACAATTCTTCAACAGCAGCATTATGTTTACAGACCTGTTTGAAAAGATTTGTTGTGATAAATCTTGGACAAATCTTGCTGTGGACAAAATGTATATGTACCCATGAACAATGTACCCATGGAAATATAGTATGACCATGGACAATCCTATAGACAATATATTAAGTAAATCAGTGGGATATTTCCTATTGTACTTTGAAGCTCATCTAACTCAATTAATATGCAATAGACACAAACAGATATCCCAAACTTTCCAAACCCTCTTTTTCTAAGCAAAGTTTGTATTATTGCCAAGACCATCCAATAAACATGTCTATGTAGTCATTGGGACTTGCACTCAGTTCAAGAGAATCTATCATATCTTTAAACAACTAGTTGCATATTTGGTCCATCTTCAGGAGGACTTCCAGGCAGACCATATCAAAGTGAGTGAAGAATTCATCCAGTTTCTGCTCAATATTCTCTGGATCTCCTTTCATGTCAATCATGGAACTGATTGTTCCATGGGACATTGGTGGTGATTGAGCAGCGTCAGCGCATTCATGCCAGCCAGCACTAGGTTCTTTGCCACCTCCGTGCCTACCCGCACAGCCCAGCCACCAGTGCTCGAGAGCAGTGCAGCCGCTTCTGTGCCTCCAGCCCCCAGAGGCAGATCTGCCACTCATACTGCTCCTCCTCCTCACTAATCCCATCGCCAGGGCACCCCTTCGCCTTCACTCTGGTGGCCGTGCAACCTTCCATCTCCTGTCTTCCTCCCTTCATGCCAGCCAGCTTCTTCGAATAATTATTGTAATCTAATAATATTGGATTAATATATCTTGTTTTAACTATTATCGAGCAGAGAGGATTACAACATTTAAGTAAGCATACCAAGAATTATGCTGTAAATAACTGAGCCATAAGTAAAAAAAAAAAAACAGCTCTCTAAATTAGAATTATTGTTTTAAATTAGTTATGAATTTTGTTCTCCTAGCTCCATCACATACTAAAGAACTTCTCATTTAACAACACAGCTGGAGAAATCATTCACTTGAATGAGCATGGAGAATTTACTGTTGGGTTTGATATTACAAATGTCATAACTTTTCCTAATAAATCATTTACTAGAATAAAAGTTGGAAAAATGAATCCCTGGACAGGTCAAAGTACAGAGTTCAGTATCAGTGAGGATTCTATCATCTGGCCTAGCAACTTTAATCAGGTGGGAGTTTCTTACCATTTCTAGGATCAAACATTCATTTATAAAAGATTTTCTAAAATTGACCTTATTATACAATTCTTTGCTAACTAATCCTACCCAATGAGGAACATCATAGGGATGAAATAAGATTTATAGCAGCCATATAAATAGTGGGTACAAAGGCAATTTAAATTGATTGTCTTAAAAATTCACTGAATGTATTGCAAATTACTATATATAGCTAATATCTTGGGTATATAAACTAATGGAAATCACGTCAGAAAACATAATGCCTCCAAATTCCTACTTTTGTCAAATCCAAAGGAACATCACTCAGATAAATGATGTTTTTATTCGATGAGAGACCATATTTATTATACTTAAAACCAAAGATTTCAAAAATGATTTATTTATTGGTAATATTATCTTCATTCTATTCAAACAGGTAATACCCCTTTCTCTCTGCAATGTCATCTGCCCTCCTGGTTGTCATAAGAAAAAGAAAGAAGGGAAGCCATTTTGCTGCTATGATTGTGTTCGATGTTCAGAAGGAAAGGTTTCTCCTCAAGCAGGTATAATATTTCTAATCCATCATATTGTTAAACCTTCTGTGTAGATCAGTTCTAATAAAAAATAAATGAGATCAAAGTCGCAGTTTTCTACAATCTTAAATTGTCTGTTTACATTGACTTATCTAAGACTAATACCTTGTCAATTCATTTAGAACTATCACATTCTAATGTCCTGAAGATAATTCATTTGCTCTGGAATTTTGCTTCAGTATGTTTTGCTGGGATCTCTTAGAATTCTTATCTTAAGCCTTCATTTCCCAGCTGATGGCATCATCAGGTATCTAAGTGCTTTTCAAATAGTCCTATTCTTCCAAGTTCTGTGGGCAGTACTAGCATGAGCAACATTTAGGGGGAAAGATATTATTCAATTTGTTATGGCATCAGCCTATAGGGATAACCATATGAGTTTGGATTCTGATTCCGTAATAGATATCAAGAACATACCTTGGCATAAATTCTGCAGCTGAAAAACAGAACTTGTAAAATCTTATTCACATATGGTTTGATATCAGAACTAATGCTGAATGTTGAATATCCAACAACTGAAAGAAGCTGTGCTTGACAAGGCAGCATAGAGGACACTTTCCTATCTCTCCTGCTCGAGCAGGGGGTTGGACTAGATGACCTCCAAGGTCCCATCCAACTCTGTTATTCTATATCTATAAAATCAACAAGAGTCAGACATGGTTAAACAACAACATTTACATTTCAACTTTTCTTTCTTTTAGACATGGAAGCCTGCAACTCCTGTCAAGAAGATCATTATCCTAACAAGGAACAAAATCAATGCATCCCTAAAATGTTTTCCTTCTTGTCTTATGAGGAACCCTTGGGAATGGCGTTAGCTATTTCTTCATATTTCTTTTTTTTCATCACAGTTTGGATATTATGGGTTTTTATAAAGTATCGCAACACTCCTATTATCAAAGCCAACAACAGGAGCCTCACTTACACCCTCCTTGTTTTCCTTCTCCTCTGCTTCCTGTCTTCATCACTCTTCATTGGCCAACCCCAGAAGTTGACTTGTCTCTTCCGCCAAATGGCTTTTGGAATCATCTTTTCAGTGGCTGTTTCATGCGTGCTAGCAAAAAATGTTACTGTGATTGTGGCCTTCCTTGCCACCCAACCAGGATCTGGAATGAGAAAGTGGATGGGAAAAAAACTAGCCAATGCTATAATTCTATTCTGTTTTTCTATTCAAGCAGCTATATGCTTTATCTGGTTGGCTACTACTCCCCCTTTTCCTGATTTTGATATGCACTCAATGGCTGAAGAAATTGTGTTAGAGTGTAATGACGGGTCAACTGCCATTTACTATTGTGTCCTAGGTTACATGGGCTTCCTGGCTTTTGTGAGCTTCCTTGTGGCTTTCTTAGCAAGGAAGTTACCTGACAGTTTCAATGAAGCCAAGTTCATCACCTTCAGCATGTTGGTCTTTTGCAGTGTTTGGATATCCTTTATTCCTACATACTTGAGCACTAAGGGAAAATACATGGTGGTAGTAAAAATCTTCTCTATGTTGGCTTCTACCGCTGGACTGCTGGCTTGCATCTTTTTCCCCAAATGCTACATTATTTTGCTGAGGCCAGAACTAAACAAAAGAGATGAAATAATAAAGCGAAAAAGATGAAGTAAGCTATTAGTGGGCTTTCCTTAATTATAAGTATTTGTTGCAGATTATACAACATAACACACTGCACCATTCCCTGAAAAGATCACTTGGAATATTGTGGTTATGTCAATTCAATCTATTTTACCCTTTTGCATTTTATCTTCTGCCTAGGCATTTAATCAAGCCAGCAAATACTTTCAATTGCAATGTTTTATTGAATGATTGATTGATCTAATTGACATGTGACTTATGTTAGATGAAGTTTATTATATAAATTCGATAGACAGATAAATAAATAAATAATATATAGCCAGCTATCTCAACAAAAGTAACTGGGTGACACACAACAGATAAAACAGGAAAAAAACTACAGATATATATAAAAAACATACTGATAAATAGCAATATTTATGAAAGTGTAGTGCACTTAAAGTAAAAAAATAAAGGTTAGAATACAATCAAAATGAAATCAGATTGATATCTTACTTTCTCAGGAAAACTTAGTATTGTTATGAGTAATGGATTTAGATCTAACATTTCATAATGAAATAATCTAAATTCTTACTCAGCTTATAATGTTGATAATAATATGTTTATTTGGATGATGTACATCCAACAAAATTTTATTTAAAATGTGGTTTGATTGAAATACAATTTTATGCATCCTTTGAAAATACACATCCTAATGCAGATTAATGGCAAAACAAGTAGACTCAAGAAATAAAAAATAGTTTATACAATGTTGTAACATAATACATGGCATGGAAAGGGTATTACTGCTGAAGCTTTTCTCTTGGCAACTGTTCCACTCTGTTCTAACTAAATTGAAAGCACAAAATACCCTCTTCTCTATGAGTGACCTCTTCCAGTTCCTGTAAGAGCATTGCAGAATAGGGAATATAATGATCAAAGGGAGCATTCACAGTTTGATTGCCTGTTGGAAATACAGGCAGTCATCAACTTACAGTCATTTGTTTAGTGACCATTTGAAGTTACAATGGCAGTGAAAGAAGAAACTTATAACTGATTCTTACACTTATCATTGTCACAGTTGCCTCACAGTCACATATTCAAAATTCCAGCACCACATGTATTTACATTAATTGTAGCATCCCAGGGTCATATCAACTTACAATTTGCAACTTACAATTTGCAACCTCCTCAGATGGCTTCTGACAAGCAAAGTCAATGGGACAAATTGAATTTGTTTGGCAACTGTGTGATTCACTTAACAATTGCAATGATCCACTTAACAACCATAGCAAAAAAAAGATTGTAAAATTGGGTACAATTCACTTTCCTTACTTAGCAATGGAAATTCTGATCTCAGTTGTGGTTGTAAGTGAAGGACTGATTACCTGTAAGCAGCTTTAATGAAAATTCTGAAACAAAGACTAGATAAACTCATATAAGGCATTTTTTTCAGCTAGAAGTGAAAGAGCAGGGCTGTCAAAATCCAGGCCCATGGGCCGGATGCATCATGCACTGGCCATGCCCATGCCTAATTTAGTGAAGGGGAAAAATGTCCCGATACATCACGTGATGATGCCATGACAATGTGAATTTGACACCTCTGTGATTGAGAAATGATTGAAGCCTGGGAAATGGCCCCTTGTCAGTCAACAAGATTGCTGATTTACCACCACCTAGGTCCCAAGGGCCTTCTAGTATAACTAAACAGCAATCAATAACTTAATAGCTGGCCAACAACAACTGGCCATCAAGATTGTAAATCATGGTCTGTGCAAAGAAAGTTTACCTAAATAAGTCCATTTGAAGTTTAAGCAGCAATAGAGTGGCCCAAAGTAGTTCTAAATGGTTGTTTTCAGGAAAGATTAAAAGCAGACCAGCTACATAAATCTGTCTACAGGGTTGACTGGATGCAATTGCTTGAGCTTTGCCTAGTGGGAAATCTCATTGACTGTCATTGCTCTGCTCAGCTCTTCATGCATCAGGCCTCATGCAGCTGCTCCAACTGATCAGAAGATGCTTGTAATTGTTTAGTATTTTCAGATGAATTATGGCTTGAAAATTCCAGCTGTCCTTGATTCAGCTGGAGCAATTTGTCAGAACTTAAGTCAGTTTTTAAATCTGAATCATGGCCCATGACATAAAGCTTTTCATGACTGGAAAAAAATAAATATTCTGCCCATGTTTTTACATAGATGTGCAGATCTTCTGGGGAAATTCTTCTTGGATGTAAATTGCTTCTATGGTTATAGAGCCCAAATTGTGGTATTTCCTGCTTCTCTTGTAAGTAACAAAAATATTTATTCAAAAGGTATTCAGTATGTAACCCTGAGAAGATCTCTGCTACAATAAATGAAATACAATACATTAGAAAACACAACTGGCAAAAGATTCATAGGGTAAAAAGAGGTAAAAATTACAGTTCTATGAAGGCATTGCCTCAATTGAAATCAATAGAAGATATACTTTAGGAATAACCAGAATAAATTAAGAGCCATATAACCAAATACTAAATAGTAAAATCTGGAAAACTGGTTTCATTTTCAACCCTATGTCTGGGAGTCATTTTCAACCGTATGTCTGGGTTTTAGGCTGAAGTGACCTGCAACAGACCTGAACCTTCTTGCAATGTTATGAGAGCCTCCTTGTCCTTTCTCTCTTTTGTTACAATGAAAAGATGACTTCAGAACATTTTAAAACTTCTATCTAGGTGGAAAATAATTGTACCAAACCTCAATTATAATAAACTCAGTAATCCAATTGATGTAAAAGGAGAAGTTACTTCTGATCTTTCACTTCACATGGTCACTATTCTCGAGAATCTATAAATGTTCATGGGTAAAATATGAGTCTTTTGTCAAGAGGACCTTCATTTTACTTTATTGTTCAATCATTCAATCATTTCTAACTCACTGTTCCAATGAGACCATTCCACTAGGATTTCTTCCAGTATTTTCTATCTCATTTTCTTTCAGATTTTTTGCCTTCAGTTTTTCAAAGCATCAGCCTATTTTTAATGCCTTCACATAATGTATCTAATATATAGTTTTACTTTTGTTATTACTGCTTCAAATGAATGCTTAGGTTTTCTTTAACTAGTACTATAGCATATCATGTGCTCAAAGATATTCTAAAGACTATTCTCCAGCACTACAGTTCAAAGGCATCATTTTATATTACCTAATCCATTCTCATAGTCAGTCTTTAACAACTATATATACAACCGCAGACAGATGCAGTCTCAACATTGTGCACTATTTTGAGTACAGTTTTTATCCCCATGAGATTCAGAACCTAGGAAGATTAGGTTTGTGGTCACTTCAAACTCTTAGATTGGTATGCCTGCTTTTTAATATTTTCCAACAGACTTCAGTGAAAGATTCTCTAAGTCAGAGGTCCCCAACCACCGGTCCGAGGACCGGTACCGGTCCGCGGAACAAGTCTTACCGGGCCGCTGGTTGCTGGGTGCCGCCATCTTTTTTTGATAAAAAAGTGCTTCCGGTGAGTTTTTCCGGGTAGAAAGCTCACCGGAAGCACTTTTTCATCAAAAAAAGATGGCGGCGCCAGCGCTTCCGGTGAGCTTTTCCGGGTAGAAAGCCATTTCTACCCGAAAAAGCTTACAGGAAGCGCTGGCGCTGCCATCTTTTTTGATGAAAAAGTGCTTCCGGTGAGGTCACCGGAAGCACTTTTTCGTCAAAAAAAGATGGCGGCGCCCAGTTGATGCCGGTACCGGGCCGCGGAGCCCAGCTGATGCCGGTACCGGGCCGCGGCATAAAAAAGGTTGGGGACCCCTGCTCTAAGTGCTCTATATTTCCAGGAACCAAAATGATAACAGCATAAGTGACCTCATCAGCATGGGATTGGTTTGATTCTGTTAAACTTGTGGGAGTTGACAAGGTCCTCCAGAATGCAAATGCCACCATTGTTTTAGGGAGTTGGCTGAGAAGGCAGTAGTATTGTAACTCCAGAGCTCCATGGAGGAAACAAATTAGCTGGACCCCTTTCCATCATGTTTCAGGCCAGGGCCTGGGGCAGAAGTAGCATTTGTTGCTGTCATGGATGCTCTCTGGTGAGAGTGGGATAGAGATGGTGTATATATCCATCTTTGTCTTTTGACTTTTTGGCAGCTTTTGAAAAACATGGTATACTTTAAAGCTATCATAGAGAGTTTAGGATGGATGGCAAACTTTGTTCTACCCCATTTCTTCTTCCACAATCAGTCCCAATCACTATTGATAATAGCAAGATGTCCAATTCATGGTCTCTTTTTTGAGTGGTACAGCAGGGTTCTGCTTCTTTTCCACCAAGTGAAAGTGAAAGTAAAAGCTTAAACTATTACTACAAAAGTTCACCTAGTCGTTCTTAGGTTAATTTCAAATTATATTATTTTTTACAGAAGTCAGCTAAAGATTATGTTATTAGGAATGCCTCAAAACTGGAAAAAAGATAGTAGTTTCTGTAATGGAATATTTGTATACTTTAATATGATTCTAGATTACACATTGAAATTTCTGCTTAAGTGTTTCTCTTAATCAATTGTTCCTTGATGTTCAGTTCAGGTTTTAGGATAAGGATGTAACACTTAGGGAAAAAGATGCAGCTTAATAATCCAGCACCAGATGCCAAGATAGAAAAGATCTCCACAGCCACCATATATTCGCCATTAGTGTTCTGATATAAAGGAATGAAGGACAGCCAAACACTGCAGAAGACCAGCATGCTGAAAGTGATAAACTTGGCTTCATTGAAAGTATCTGGCAACTTCCTGGCTAAGAAAGCCACAGTGAAGCTGACAATAGCCAAAAATCCCAAGTAGCCCAAGACATAATAAAACATACCAAGTGTTCCTTCATTGCATTGCACTATAATTTCTCCACGAAGGGAATACATATCAAACTCTGGGAAAGGAGGAGCTGTAAACAGCCATACAGCACAAATACAAGCCTGAATGAAGGAACAACTGAA